ACCTCTGCCCGAGGATCTCAAGGTACGTGCTGGTGCGTATGGGACTAAAAGGTCAGAAATATAACAAGGCGAGAGGCCATGAAGAGCTTTAAAAGTGATCAATAGAATTTTAAAGTCAATTCTAAAACATACTGGGAGCCAGTGTAATGAAGCTAAAATAGGAGTAATGTGGTCATATTTCTTTGTTCTGGTTAAAAGCCTGGCTGTTGTGGTGGCAGCCTGGCTGACGGTGAGCGTCCTGGGTTTTTTTTCTCCTTTTTATCAGTTATTCTGCTTTTTCCTTGGTTTTCTGTTCCCTGCCTGCCTCCCTGTGTTTCCTCCCCTGTGTGCTTTCTCTCTCTCTCCCTCTGCTCCTGAGCCCAGCCAACGACCCGCACCTGCACCTCATCAGCCACCTCGTCAGCCTCATGCCTGTCTGTATTTCAACCCCGGTTCTCCACACCACTCTTGCTTGGTCGCTGTTGCTCCATACCCACTTCACTCAGCCTCGTTCTCCATTCAGTCGGCTGGGCTCGTCCTCCGGACCTCTCCTCTTCAGGCTTCCCCCACGGCGTCCTCCCAGTTCTCCCTTGCATCCTCCCTTCCTCGGCCCCAGTGTTCCCCAGCTCCCTGGCTTCCGTCCCGTTGATTTCCCTGTGCCAGTGTTTCCCCGGGAACCTCCTCTCCCTCCACTCCAGTACCTCAACCCCCCTTTTCCCTAAATAAACCTCCTTCGCTCAGAGTGCTGCGTTTGGGTCCTCTCTGTCCCCACACCACCCTCTTAACCCTGGCAGCTGAGATGGCTGAGAATAGATTTTTGGGATAAACGAGTGAAAAGGCTGTTGCAATAATCCAGGTGTGATGAGATGAAGGCGTGTAAAATGGTCTCTGTGTCCTTAAAAGTTAACATAGATCGAATTTTAGCTATATTTCTAAGTTGATAAAAACATGATTGAACAAGCTGCTCGAAATTTAAATTCCTATCAAACCAAACACCAAGGTTCTTTGCCACAGGCTTAATGTGATTTACTAGGGAACCAGCAGATGGCAGTATTTGATTTGCCATCTGCAGGATTTCTGTTTTGTCTGAGTTCAGCTGGAGGAAATTATTTGACATCCATTTTTTAACTTCACAAAGGCAGTTGTTAAGTGAACTCAGCATTCCAGGGTCTGTGGATCTGACAGGCAAGTATATTTGTGTGTCATCAGCATAAATATGAAAAGAAATGCCATGTTTATGGATAAAATGTCCAAGGGGAAGCAGATACAAGGAAAACAAAATGGGTCCTAAGGCCGACCCCTGAGGCACACCATATTTAACTGGACAGAACGAAGAGACATAGTTGTTTACAGGCAACTTCCTACAAACAAAACTTCCTATTTGACAGGTAGGATGAAAACCATTCTAGGGCAGTACCAGAGATCCCCACCCAGTGCCTCAGTCTGTCTAACATGATGTTGTGATCAATGGTGTCAAAAGCAGCGCTAAGGTCCAGGAGTACCAGGACTGAGCACAGGCCTTCATCAGCAGACATTAAAAGGTCATTGGTGACTTTAAGCAGGGCAGTCTCAGTGCTGTGGTACTTCCTGAAACCAGACTGAAACTTTTCAAATATTTTGTTATTTTCCAGTACAGTGAGCAGCTGTTTGGACACAATTCTTTCTAAACGTTTTGCTATAAAAGGCAGTTTTGAAATGGGTCTAAATTATGATGTGGAATCTAAACCAGGTTTTTAAAAAGTGGGTTCACGCAAGCCGTTTTAAAATAATCAGGGACACAACCAGTAGATAGGGAGCTGTTGAAAACCAAGATCAAATGGGGCCCAACAGAATCTATTACTTTCAGTAAAAACTTTGTAGGTATTACATCAAGTGGGCTGGAGGACACTCTCATTTGTGATACTGTTTTTAAAAGCTCAGACAAGTCGATGGGATGAAACTGGTTAAAACTCTCTTGTTGCTGGTGAGGAACCTCTGAGTAAGAGGCCGCGGGGGTAATAGAGGCTCTGATTGACACCACCTTATTGGTAAAATAAGATAAAAACAGCAGCACTGAAGAGCACTTAAGAAGGGAGTCCTGGTTTGTCTGCTCCACACACAATATCTGGTCAGCCAGCATGAACTGTGCGTCGTGCACGTTGGCCTGCGCCAGAATATAAACAACAACCAGAATGAATGAAGCAAACTCATGGGGGAGTAAAACGGCTTATAGTTTGATTAAAAATTCTATATTAGGAGAACAGTGCTGCTGAATCACTGTCTGTACATCAGCCATTGTTAATATAAAAACGGATACCTCCACCTTTTTGTTTTGCCAGAGTTCTGTGTCACGATCCGCTCTGTGGAGTTGGAAGCCAGCTAGCTGCAGCATGGAGTCCGGTATGGATCCACACAGCCACGTCTCTGTGAAGCACAGAAAAGAAAATGAATAAAAGTCTCTGTTTTTCCCCACCAGAAGCTGAGTTTGTCCAGTTTGTTGCACAGTGAGCGCACGTTGGAGAGAAATATTGCCGATAGGGGTGAGCAGAGTCCCCGCCAGCGGAGGCGCACGAGCGACCTGGCTTGTTTCCGTCTCTTACGAACAACAATGAGAGAGCCCTTCCAATGTCCAATAATTCCATTAATGACGCGAGAAAAGTGGGAAATTCGCTGGAGTTGCTGTTCATGAGCTTTTGTCTGGTGAATGAGCTCCGTGAATCACAGACGAAAACTGAACACACAAAAACAAAACAAAACAAAGTACACCTAACTCCGAGGCAGCTATAGACGGCGACATCTTGGAAGTCTTTCTGCCGTGCTATTGGAGCCACCGTTAGCTTGACCTCAGGATTCAACCCCCAAGCTAATGGTCAAGTGCCGTGACCCTGATGTGCAGAACACTTTTTTGTGCTTTCATTTGCCCTTTTGGTGTGCCTGCTGAGTACTTCGTTTTGTTTGGTGTCTGTCTCTGTGTTCTGCTCTCCCCTCATGCTCTGGATGCCACCGGTGGGCTTGGTCGCTTGTGCTCCTGCCTGCACTTTGGGGCTCACCTCACTAATCAGCGCATCTGCTCCACAGCCTGAGCCCAGACTCAGCCAGCCCAGTGATACCCAGAGCACTGGAACCTGGACCCACCTCTCTGGCCCATCATAATCACCTTCAACCCCAAGCCCACAGTTAGGCTTAACTTTCAATAAATACTCCCTTTGTTTGAACACAATTACCCCTCCACCACCAGCCTAAACCGTTGATACAGGCAGGATGTATCCATGCTTTCATGTCAAAAACATCTAACGTCACATTCTGACCCTACCATCTGAATGTCGTAGCTGAAAGTTTTTCCAGTCTTCTATTGGCCAATTTTGGTGAGCCTGTGTGAATTGTAGCCTCAGTTTCCTGTTCTTAGCGGACAGGAGTGCCACCCGGTTTGGTCTTCTGCTGCTGTAGCCCATCTGCTTAAAGGTTCGACGTGTTGTGCATTCAGAGATGCATGGTTGTAACTGCTGCTCACTGGATATTTTCTTTTTCAGATAATTCTTTGTGAACCCTAGAGATGGCTAAAGTGTGAAAATCCCAGTAGATCATCAGTTTCTGAAAAACTCAGACCAGCCTGTCTGCCACCAACAACCATGCTATGTTCAAAGTCACTTAATTTCCCTTTCTTCGCCTTTCTGATGCTCGGTTTGTACTTCAGCAACTTGTCTTGACCACGTCTACATACCTTAATGCATTGAGTTGCTGCCATGTGATTGGCTGATTTGTGTTAACAAGCAATTGAGCAGGGTACCTAATAAAGTGTACATTGCCAGGCCTGTATGCTAGTTTTCTGTGGAGTTTGGGTTTCGTTTTCTCACCAGCTTGAGCTACAAGGATTATTGTTTTTCGTTTGTTGATGGAATGTGAGTCCATGCCTGTATTTTAGTTTGATATTTCATTTGTTTTGGAACTGTCTGTTGGATTGATCTAGGCTAGCCACCCCAACATTCAGCATTCACCTTTTTAAGGGCACTCGCCTGGCTATTATCACTGTCTCCCATGTAGGCCATAAGAGGAGGCATGGTTGTCATTACTCCAACCTCTCTGTCTCCCCTGCACAGCTCCTCATCACTAGGGCTGTGCAATTAATCAAATTGTGGCGATATTGGCCAAGTTCATCAAGATAAAACGATTATTATGTGGCATGCTGTATCTCAATGACAATTTGTCTTCTAAACCCAGCGCAACCCTTTACAGCGGTGGCTCCCCCCCGCCCAGAGCTGAAGCGCCTGTCACTGGTCTCCAGTCCAGCCATCAGACTCTAGTCTTGGTTTCCAGTCTTGTCACAGGCCTCCTCAAGTCTCCAAAGTGTCTCCGCTCTCGTTTCCGGCCTCCAGGGGAGGCACAGAAAGATTTGCTAGAGACACACCCCAGCAACCAAAGTCCTACATCATCTCTGCGTTCAGGCCTCTACAGTTTAATGGAGGAGTTCACATTAGCTCTTCCTTTGGAGATTTCAGATCCATGGAGGGCAAAGAAGTCTGATAAAAACATCCCACAGACTGGAGCAGATCACTGTCCAATTTTTGTCTTTACCAAACCGCAAGATCAGGTAACTATGACTGAATAAGACAATGTGATGCAGGTTATATGAGACTTCAAGGAATGTACCAGATTTATTCATTAACAATTTCTTTTATACAGCCAGAATGGATAATAGTTTAAATGCAACATACATAACTCTTGATGGGTATGTGGAAGTGCAGAAATATAGATATCTTTATTTTGTGATCATGTTTACAGCATATGTTCTAATAATTTGCAGTAATTCTTCTATTGTGTGCATCATTGTGATTCATGAATCCCTCCATGAGCCGATGTACATTTTCATTGCAGCTCTGTTACTGAACTCTCTTCTTTTCAGCACTGCTATCTACCCAAAGCTTTTGATTGACTTTTTATCTGAAAAACAGATCATATCATATCCAGCCTGTCTCTTTCAGTGGTATATATTATGCTCTAGCCACTTCAGAATTTTATCTCTTGGCAGCCATGGCCTATGACAGGTATGTGTCTATATGTAAACCTCTGCAATATCAAACTATCATGAGGAAATCAACTGTCACTATTTTCTTGGTTTTAGCTTGGCTTGTGCCGGCTTGTCAGGATGTGGTGCCAGTTGTACTAAATGCTAATAAAAAACTCTGTAACTTTGTTTTCAAAGGAATCATTTGTAACAGCACAGTTTATAAACTTCACTGTGAGAGTTCAGGAGTGCTGAATATATATGGCTTGATTATTTTTGTAAATGGTCTCTTTCTCCCTGTGCTCTTCATACTTTTTACATACACCAGGATATTTATAATAACATATCACAGCTGCAGAGAAGTCAGGAGAAAAGCTGCACAGACCTGTTTACCCCACCTGATTGTTTTAATCAGCTTTTCCTGTTTGAGTGCATATGATGTACTTCTACTGCGACTGGAAACTGAATTTCCCAAAACTTTACGTTTAATAATGACATTACAAATACTAATGTATCATCCTCTCTTCAATCCAATCATATATGGACTAAAAATGAAAGAAATTTATAAACACCTGAAGAGGTTGTTCTGCAAAATGGCCTGATGTTTATAAAACTAATAACTGTGGTACACTGACTGTTTTGTGTCATAAAAAAGGAGAGCTGTGATTTCTCTGGACATTGAAAGACAATGAATGTAAAAGTCTGTTTCTAAAACACTGAAGCACAGCATTTTCCACTTCCGCAATTTACAACGGTTTCATTAAAATCACAAGTTGAATTATGAATTTCCAATATGTTGTTAGTTAATTGCAGCTTAACAGAATCCTGTTACCCATGACGACATGATCATTGTCTCGATATCAGATGTTGAGTGTATTGTTAGTTTATATGGCCATAAAATGTTGTTAACATGTTACTACTAGTTGTAGTTTTGTCTATTTATTATTATTTTATTGTAAAAATAAATAACTAAAATAACTCTTGTTGCTGTGGAATGGTTATTTTACATAAACTCTTTCAGCTCTTCTTGGCTCCCCTAAAATATGCAGCTCAGCAATAGTATGACAGACACACACAGACCACATAACCTCTATTACCAACAATAAAACAATAAAAGCACTAGTTCTAGTACTTTTTGAATCCTGCAGAATGTATATTCGTGGAAAGAAAAAATAAATGATCAAAAGACAAAAAAAGAACAAAATACAGAGAGAAAGGGAGGAAGTAAGGAAGGAGCAAAGATGCTTTCCAACTCTCACACATTAAGGAAATACTTTTTTCACCATGCAAAGACTACGGCATGTGCTGCAATGTTTGTGTTTCGATGTTTGATCCACATCCATCAACCTACGGACGCTCTTGCAATTCCCCACTGTCTCCAGGCAGAGGACATTTAGGGGAATCACGTTTTCTGACGGCTCTTTCAGAGGTGTGTCAAGCAGGCTACAGACTCTTTTAGTGTCGTTCAGTTTTTCAAAGTAAAAGCTCAGTTCAAATCCAATGCAGCATTACAGTTAACAAAACTACTAAAGAGGAAGTAAGTAAGTAAAGTTTCTTTGTATAGCTCCTTTCACAGATAAAAATCACAAAGTGCTTCACAGTAAAATGTAATACAATACAACAAAGTAAAATACAATGTATAAGAAAATATTTAAATACAGATGGAAAAGATAGAAACAAAAACCATAAAACATTTTTTTTTTAAACCCACGTGAACCAAATATTTGCTGGTTGAATAGCAGCATCTTCAGTTGCTTTTTAAAAGAATCAAAAGAATTCAGAAAGAATAGAAAGGTAGGCAAAGCATTCTACAGCCTAGGTGGAATGAACGATCCCCTCTGGTTTTAAAATGAGTAGGGAACCACTAACAACCTCTGACCTGATGACCTCGAACTACGGGTTGGAGTATGAAACTGTATCAACTCAGAGATGTAGGGAGGAACTTGACCGTGCAGGGCTCTAAAAGTAAGGACCAGGAAGTGATTCTGTGAGCAACTGTTGCTGTCATGGGGAGGGCACTCTCTCATTTCCTGGTATTCACATCTAGATGTGTTTACCAACTCACGTATCACCTTTCGTTTGAACACACCCCTTTTTCAAGTGAGCAAAACTATTGGAACATGTGACTGACAGATGTTTCTTGTTGCCCAGGTGTTGCCTTTTAGGTTGATTGTCCAAACATGACTAGTCTAAGTTTTCCTCCTTGGTTCAAACCTATAAAGACTGCATTTCCTGTTAAAGAGGATAAACCAACATGAAGGCCAGAGAGCTGTCTGTGGGAGAAAAGAAAGCCACTGTCAAGCTGAGAAAAGAAGGAAAATCGAGCAGAGCCATTGGACAAACATTGGGCAGAGCAAGCACAACAATTTGGAACGTCCTGAAAAAGAAACTACTGGTGTTCTGAGCAACAGACGTCCAACAGGTCGGCCAAGGAAAACAACAGTAGTTGATGACAGAAATATGTTGAGAGCTGTGAAGAAAACCCCCAAAACATCAGTAAGTGACATCACCAACGACCTCCACAGTGCAGGGTGAAGGTATCACAATCCACTGTTGGATGAAGACTCAGAGAGCAGAAACATAGAGGCCACACCACAAGATGCAAACCACTCATCAGCAGGAAGAATCGCACAGGGAAGATTGACATTAGCAAAGAAGTACAGAGATGAGCCGCAAAAGTTCTGGAACACAATCTGATGGACTGATGAGACCAAGATTAATCTCTAGCAAAGTGATGGAGAAGCCAAAGTGTGGAGAAAGAAAGGAACTGCTGATGATCCGAAGCGTACGAGCTCATCTGTGAAGCATGCTGGAGGTGATGTCAGGGCTGCTTCTGGATCAGGCTCATTAATATTTATTGATGATGGTCGCAGCAGAATGAATTCAGAAGTGGACAGAAACATTTTGTCTGCCAGTTTACAGAGAAACGCATTGAAACTAATGGGGAGGAAGTTTATCATGCAGCAGGACAATGAGCCAAAGCACACTGCCAACAAAACAAAGGACTTCATCAGGGGGAAAAAGGTTTTAGACTGGCCAAGTTAATCAGCTGACCTGAACCCAACAGAGCTGCATTTCACCTCCTTAAGAGGAGACTTTAGGGAGAAACACCCCGAAACAAACAAGAAGTGAAGGAAGCTGCAGTAAAAGGCTGGAATAGCATCACAAATGAAGAATGCAGCAGTTTGGTGATGTCGATGGGTCGCAGGCTGGAGGCAGTTATTGTAAGCAAATATTAAATGTTATTTACTTTAAGAGTATTTGTTCCTTTACTTTTGCTCACCTCAGAATGCTGTGGTCTAATACAAACGGTGGTATGTCCTGAGTTTAACACATCTAGATGTGAATAGCAGGAAATACAAGCTGACTTTCTGAACTCTTGTCTCATCTTTTGATCTTAAACCCAAATGTCTTCAGTGAACAACAAAAACAAAGGAATTTGCCTTACTGTTACAATACTGTTGGAGGGACTGTATTTCAGCACCGCTGAACACCACAATCACCACCAAAGCACCATAATCTGGCAGCGGGCCAGATATTATTGTTGGCGGGCAGTTTTGGCGAGGGTCCATAATCACAGACTGAAAAAACTAAATAATTAAGTAAATATAATTTCTTAATAAATCTAGCTAAAGAAACCTCATTTCTTGACTGTCCACTCTTTGCTGTCTCAGAAGAGACATCGTCCATCCTGTGAACATTAACACGACATTAGCGAGGTAACTTCAAGGTTAACTGGTTCTCAGCACCACAACGGTGGTTCACATCTTATCGAGGTACATCGCCATGGAGACTTATGCTGAATGGCTAACCTGCTCCAGAGCACGTTATGTTCCAGATAAGAGATCAACTTTATAAAAGTACCACATACTGACCAATCAGCTCTCTTGGAAAATGGCAACACCATTACATCACCAAAATATTTAAATTAAGGTTTATATGTATTATTATAAATTTATGTTGCATTTGTTTCTTATTACAGTGACTAGTCATTTACTGCCCCACATTTTGCTATTTAGGTGCAGGTGATGTGGGGGAGTTTTAACTGTTGAGAACTGAAGCCTTGGTTGAGATTACAGGCTTTCACCACCTGTTAAGGGATTTTTGTTTTGTAGCTTTATGAAGTTAATTTAGAATGTTTGGAACATGTTGAATGCTCTGCTAAGTGATAAATGTTAATAAATAAATCTGATTTTTGAAGTGACGAGGAATTCCAATGACCACTTAATTAGTGCCCGAGGCATTTAATGTGGAAATGCAGATACGCAGCCGCTGCAGATGAAAGAATAAGGCTAAAATGATCATACACGCCATATTATTCACCTGTTAACTTATTCATTTGCACAATCTGCAATTTCAGTTTGTCAGCTGCAGCTGTGTTGCTTTCAGCCTGGATCGTGTGTTTTACTTCTTGGTATTTGTCTAATATTATACACTCACCTAAAGGATTATTAGGAACACCTGTTCAATTTCTCATTAATCTAATCAACCAATCACATGGCAGTTGCTTCAGTGCATTTAGGGGTGTGGTCCTGGTCAAGACAATCTCCTGAACTCCAAACTGAATGTCAGAATGGGAAAGAAAGGTGATTTAAGCAATTTTGAGCGTGGCATGGTTGTTGGTGCCAGACGGGCCGGTCTGAGTATTTCACAATCTGCTCAGTTACTGGATTTTCATGCACAACCATTTCTAGGGTTTACAAAGAATGGTGTGAAAAGGGAAAAACATCCAGTATGCGGCAGTCCTGTGGGCGAAAATGCCTTGTTGATGCTAGAGGTCAGAGGAGAATGGGCCGACCTATTCAAGCTGATAGAAGAGCAACTTTGGTGGTGGTGTAATGGTGTGGGGGATGTTTTCTTGGCACACTTTAGGCCCCTTAGTGCCAACTGGGCATCGTTTAAATGCCACGGCCTACCTGAGCATTGTTTCTGACCATGTCCATCCCTTTATAGCCACCATGTACCCATCCTCTGATGGCTACTTCCAGCAGGATAATGCACCATGTCACAAAGCTCCAATATTTCAAACATGACAATGAGTTCACTGTACTAAAATGGCCCCCACAGTCACCAGATCTCAACCCAATAGAGCATCTTTGGGATGTGGTGGAACGGGAGCTTCGTGCCCTGGATGTGCGTCCCACAAATCTCCATCAACTGCAAGATGCTATCCATCAATATGGGCCAACATTTCTAAAGAATGCTTTCAGCACCTTGTTGAATCAATGCCACTAGAATTAAGGCAGTTCTGAAGGCGAAAGGGGGTCAAACACAGTATTAGCATGGTGTTCCTAATAATCCTTTAGGTGAGTGCAGTTAACCTTCATTTGTAAAATATGACATTCTGCTGCAAACGGCCTTTAATGTCAATGAGCTTGTGGCCATTAAGCAATCTACACACCTCTTTAGCATCAACGCAATCAACTCCTTTTAGGACCCAGAGCTGATATCCAGTCTCCACTGGATTGTTGTATATTGTGTTGTGTACCAGCCAGTGAACTTGCTTGATGCCCGTTATTCTTCTTGTTTTGTCAGCCTACCTCCTTTTTCACTCTGGTATTCTCAGTCTTCAGATCTTTCGCAACCATATTTCCACTCCTGCCAGTTCACTCTATCAAGACAAACCCTGGACTAACCCCTTTACCCCAACCAGTCAGCACCCCCCTCACTTAACTGTTCTTCAATAATAGACTTGTTACCTGTCAGCCTCCAGCCTAGATTCCCAACACAGCAGCAGTCTGGCGATGAGGCTACTGCTGTAATATGCCACTACTTACTTGAACACATCCAGTGTTCATTTTATGGTTTCTGGAACTTGTATAAAGAGTGAACTGTCTAGCTAGCCTAATTGCAGCACATTTTTGGAAAGACTGAATAAACATGTCAAAAACCTAGAGCCTTAGCAGACACTCAAACTTAAAGAAGTACCAAGGATGCATGAACAC